CGAGCACCCTTCCCCCCCCCCCAAAAGGGCAGGGCCGCAAAGACCCAGGGAAAAGTTAACACCCCCCACCCCCAAAAAGCCGTGCCCTGGTGTGGATGTACCAGCACTTATTTTCCCCAGTGTGGTTCCCCCCCAAAAAGCTTTGCCCTGGCTCTTCATGCTGTTACGCTATTGTGGCTCTTCATCTGGAGTGGGCTGGCCACCACTACTGAGGCTCTTGTAATTTTAAAGGTGGAATGCCATGTTAGTCCTTATTGACTAATTGAATAGTTGATGGAAATTCCATCGACTATTCAATTAGTTAATTACTCTAAATTTAACATCCCTAGGTCATACTGGATAAATATGATAATCTGAAAGAAACTGTAGATGTCAGAACTGAGACTTTTAAATGATCTAGGCTTTCTGTTGCCGGGAGAAATCTTTGTATTGCAGCATGGCACTAGTTGATGGCAAAGTTTGCATTAGGATTATAGGATCATAGAATAAAATGCAGTAGTGAGTAAAGAATGCATAATATTTCAGAATGAAACATGCTCAATAAAGTATAATTCTCAGTGTACCAATATGCTCACTTAGTGAATCAGTTCTATAATTGCTTGATTATTGCTGAATACACAGTATTATTTATATATTATCTCATTTTTTGTAGTGCTTTAATCTACTCTGTTTAAAAGAAAAGAGCATCCGTTTGGCTCGTTCTGGCAATTTTTAAGTTCCAAAGGTAAGAAGCACTTCTTCTTATGTATAAAATGAAATTTTTATTTAACTTCTGCATTGTAACAAAAACTGGCACTAGCAGTAGCCACTTCAAGTGCAGAAAAGTTACTCTTATTAATCTCAGAGGGTAGTCCTGCAGAAACAATGAGGAGTTCTATGGCACCTTAAAGATTAACAGACTTATTTGGGCATAAAATTTCCTGTGTAAAACTCACTTCGTCCAATGCATCTGACGAAGTGGGTTTTACTCATGAAACTTAGGCCCAAAAAATCTGTTAGTCTTTAAGGTGCCGCAGAACTTCTTGTTTTTTCTTATTAATGGCAGTATTGTCCAGACGCTACGATCAGGAATGTGTTAATTTTGCTCTAGGTAATGTATAATACATGATACAAGAAAAATGGTCAAAAATCTACAATTTATGTGCAATCTTTACATATCTTCCCAAACTTTTCCATCTAATGTATAATAATCAGCTATTCCTATTTGTCCCTCAGTCTTACCATAGTTGACTAAATTGTTCTAGGTCTCTAAGTAGAAATGCAAGCCTTGTATAAAACTGTTAAACTAAAATTAAATCTAATATAATACTATCATCAGTATTTGTTTAATATGTTAGTATAGAAGTCAACATTTTCAGCAGATACACATTCATATATGGCGAGGGGGGAGGTGGGAGTCAGTGCTTGTGGGGGGCAGCATCATTAGGAGGAGTCACGCATGGGAAGCCGGTTTAAAAAATGGCTTCCTGTGTCTACCCACTCCTGCCCCCCCCCCCCCATGCTGTTGCCTCTGTATTCGGGGCGGGGGGCAGGCATCACTGCAGGAGCCAGTGCTTGTGGGGAGCTGCCCCTCCCCCCCAGCATCTGAGGTGGGGGTGGGGGGCAGGACTTACTTGTAATCATGGCTCATTGATTAACCCTGTACTTGGATACATGTTCACCTCCCTAGTCTAGATGGTGCTTGGTCCTGCCATGAGTGCAGGCAACAACTTGATGTTTCTCATGGTTCTTTCCAGTTCTGTGTTTCTGTAAGGGGAGGTGCAATAGGAAAAGTTTGGGCACCACTACTCTAGGGCATTGGCACTGTAGGTGAATTCACATACATCCTCTTCCTCTGTTCTGCAAGAGAGTGTTTACCAGTAATAGCAGCAGCAAAACTAAAGCTGTAACAGGAAGGAATGTGAAGGAGATGTAGGGGGTGGGTGGAGAATGGGCCTTCGCATGTTTGGTAATGGTTGTTCCAAAGGCCTGACCAAAAGACCCACATACATTCAGTGAAGATACAGGAAAAACGCTTAAAAATTTTAAAGGTCTTTAAAGAGAAGGAAATGAAGACATACTATTTGATGGATGTTCTATTCGATTCCTTAATTCTAGTACGCAGACTACTGAAGCAAGGCATATCTCAGTGTACAACCGTGGGAAAGATTTTACATGAATTACTCTAGTAGATTTGTAACCTACAGAAAGAAAAAACATGTTTTCCTTTGCATTTATATGCATACTAGAAGATTTATCCGGAATTGATTGATCCTTCAGGGCAGGGACTGTGTAGGAGGGGGTGAGGAGAGGCTCAGGGTAGAAGCTGGGTGTGGGGGGGGTACAAGAGCCATTCGGGACCAAGGGGGTGGCTCCTCGGAGCTGGGTGAGGCATGGGCCACACTGCCTGGGATGCAGGCAGGAAGCTTACAGTCATCCCACTTTCCTGCTGTCCCAGTGGAGTTGTTGTTGTCCCAGACCCCTTCTCTAACTCCTTGCTGCCCCCATGGTCATTATACAGTATAACTGTCCCTGCTAGCATCCCTTTCTTTCTGTGTTATGAATAACAGTCCCATTTCAGGCACACCCCATTGTCCTGGCATAACCAAACCCTTATCTGCTCCTAGCTCTTAAGGAGGAGTTCTTGAACAGACGGACATGCTTGCTTGCTTACGGACCAACTCACTCTCTCATATAGTAGTGGATCAGGTGTTCAAAGCTCTAATTAATGCTAAAAAATGTTGTAGATGAGATTTTTAAATCTTGTGATTGAGGACTAAGCCAATCATTAACATAAGAGGTCAGAATGGGATCTTATCTGCTTAGTGGTGTGTCTTTTGTGGGGTTTTTACACCTTCCTCTGAGGCATCTGGTTCTGATCACTTTTGGAGGCTGAAGACTGGATTAGCTGGGACATGAACACTTCTTATTTGGAATTAGAGGGTTGCATTAAACAAACAAAACCAGAAGCTAAAAGCATAAAGCAACAGATTCATATTTCTTTGTCCCAGTATTGGTAATAACAATTGCTGTGTTAATTTAAATGTTTTGTTAATTATTGTTTACATTTTCTTATTTTTTTCAAGAAAAATATAAAAAAATTGTAATTTTATGATGAAACTGACATTCTCTTTTTACTTTTGCAAGGAGTCATGCATTTATTTGATTCATTTGGGGAAGAGTTATGTCATATTCCATTAGTTATTTTTAAGCAGCATCTCTTTTAGTGAAGCAACATTTCTGTCCTGCTGCAGTATGTTCCACACAAGTATCTTTGCAAATGAAAGAAGTTGGTGTTTCTGTTCTACCTATTATTTTGAACTGATTTTAAAACTAGTATTACTTTAGCAGTGAAATGTCTCAGGAACACGTGTTGTCATGGTAATAGTTTAGAGAAGTTCATGTGCAAGTGATACATAAACACAATAAAAATCTCACCATCAAGTGAAATAATTCAAGATGCTGCTCATCTCTTAATATCACTTATTTATATAAACCCTTTCCCTGTTAACATCCAATCAGCATGCAGGTTTCCACAATAGCACCTTTTTAATCCAGAAGATGACAAACCAGTTTGCAAACGTAAACAGTTCTATATTATGTACAAGTGATCTTTTTACCATTCCTGGGATGCAACCACATTTTGCAATGAAAACTAGCATGTGTTTAACCATGCTTTGGGGCAATATGTGAAGAATAGCATATTTGAAACTTCATGGGGAGTGCTGGTAAGAAGAATATAATTATTCTAATTAGAATTAAGTGGGGTCATCATGCATACTCTTATTAAAGATCCATGAGATTTTTAAACAGGTTGGACCTTGTTTATCTAATCTGAAAGATGGCACCTCCAGCAGTACAGAGCACCGTAAATGTAGGCTGGACATTGGTTCATTGTGGAATCAGAGGAAAGTGTGTCACTTACTGATTGCCAGTGTTTCTTCCTGCATCATCTATCCTTAGGTGTTCTTGGAAATTTCTTCTCCAAGTATGGACCCAGCCTAATATAGCTCAGTTTGTAGGATTTTGAGATCTCAGTAGAAAAGTGCTACGTCTGTAGGCTTTTAGGATATTTTATTAAGTACTTATGCAGCTATCAGAATGGTCTGGAGCAGTGGTTCCCAACTTTTTTTATACCGCAGACTGGCAAACCTATTCACAAACTTATGGTGAATCAGTAACATCTTGATTTGCATACTCATTGTGCAAATACTGAATATGCAAATATGCAAATAAAATATTACCTGTCCACCTAGCCCCAACCCAGCTTCTTGCTCTCCAGTGCCTTACACCCCTTTGATCCTCACCCCTATGCCCCATGCCCTCTAGCCTCTGTCCCCTACAGCCCGTGCCAATACTCTCTTGCCCCATGACCCCATCATGCCCTCACCCAACACCCTTTCTCCTCCCACTCCTGCACTCCCCAGAGTGAGGCTGCCCCCTCTAGGGAATGTAGCAGTTACTGTCGTGCACTTCCTCCTTCTCCCAGCACGTCCAACTCCTCCTCCAGTCAGCAGAAAGTTTCCATTGAGGTTGGATTCCCTGTATTGCCACAAACTTCCTGAGTGTCCTTGGGCAAGTCACTTAGGGTAAACTTTTTTCAAGTGACTTAGGCACTTCCGATCTACTGACTCTCAGTGACTTACCCTCCTCAGTCACCTCTGTGCCTGTGACCGTGTGTCCATCTGCAGTAGAGGTGGGGAGGAGGAGGGAGCATCTTACCTGGGTGAGAAGGAGGAAAGTGTCTCTTGCTCCTCGTCTTCCTGCTGCTGTCTCTTCCCCAGCGCCGCTGCTGGGAAAATTGGCTGTGTGGACAGGCCGTTGGGAGAGGGTGCACTCCTTCTCCTTCATGCCCCCTCAATCCCCAAGCGCGTCTTGAGCTACCATGGGTAGAGGCGGAGGACAGGGAAAGCATGGAGCCCAGGCAGGGCTGCCATCTTACCTGGGTGGGATGAGGGAGGACGGAAGGAAGTGCCTCCTGCCGCTGCCTTCAGCCCCCGCACTGTTGGTGGTGCAAAATCTTCAGCAGCCGCTGTGGCCCAGCAATCGGTGGTTTGCAGGCCGGTGGTTGGGAATTGCTGTCTGGAGTACTGACTGACTGGTTATTTTTATTAGGTCTCCATACGTTTCCTTTTTAATCTAAATATTTTTTTCTAAGCTTCATTTGCACTTGGCAAGTTTCTAACTCTAGTGGATTCATTAATTAACATTTGTAAAAATAGGAAAGTGTCATTAACAGTCTAAAAAGGGAGGACTTCATTCTTCCACACAGAGGTAGGTGCAGCACAGCCAATGATAATGTGCTTATTTACCCATATAATTTATGGTATGCTGCTACCTCATTCTGCAGGTACCTCTGAAAATAAGTTAATTTGTTATGAACATTTAGTCTTGTACCTTTTCATTAGGAGCTGGACTGGGACTCACCAGGTTATTTCACATAGGTCAGTGAATAGCTATCAGACTCTTCTGAGTTAGGGGGCTCGTCACCTGATCTAGCTTAAAATTATTTGTCTAAAAGTGATTATATATATATGTGACCTTGATGTGGCTTTGACTGTAGAGAAGGGGAAATTCATGAGTGGTTTACAGAAATTTAGTTGCCTGATTCCCATTCTTGCCAATGGCAGTCACATGCCCAAGGGTTCATTCACATTGCATGCTGATTTTGTTGCAACATCATGTTTATGTACATGTAACTCCCTTAGCCCAGGTAGAAATAGCAATGTAGACTGTGAAACATGGTGCAGGTAGCTAAAGACATCCTGGACGGGTGTGGGTATGTATTTGAGTATGCATCCTTCGCAGCCTCTGTTCATGCAAGCTATAACTCCCATAATACATAGCCATTTCTAGTGATGTAGTGTCCCAGAGCCTTTCTGCTGTTGGAGCCTTTCCTCACTGCCTCCTGGTTGCTGCAGACTGTCCCCACAGCAGGGAAAATTCTGGCAGGGGACAAGCAGTGGGGAAAGTTTTAGTCTTTCCACAGTGTCCCCCCATCTTCCTTGCCAGAGCCTTTCCTTGCTACAGTGAAAGGCTTTTGCACCAGGGAGCCCTTTGCTAGTGACATGGGTAGTTACACAGTGCAGGCCTGTACACAGGAATTTCTTTTGTGTGTGTGTGTGTGGGGAGGGGGAGGGGGAGGACTGGGCAAGCTGTGGGAGGGGCTGGTGGCAGCCCCCCCCCTTGTGGCCCAGCCTAGCCCGCTCCCCGGCCTTGCTCTTGAGCGAGGAAGGGGGAATCCGCTCCAGCCTTCCCTGGCTGACCCAAACATAAGGTAGGGAGGCTGGGGAAGCGCGCCTCTCTGCGCGCCTCCTTGCTTTCCTCCGGCTGGGGCAGCACACCTCCCTGCTTTCCCACAGCTGGCCAGAGCACGGGAGAGGGAGGCTGGGGCAATGAACCGCCCCACCTTCCCTAGGTCACGTGGAAATGGCCCCATGGACATGGCAGACCATGAAGGACCGGGGTGGGGGTGTGTGTGTGTATTTGCACCCTTCGCGCCCCCCTGCATATGGGCCTGCAATGCAATATGCACAGACAGCTTTTCCATTGCTGCATGTAGCTACGTGTTCACTATACACCTCTGCCAATAGTGTGTCAATTGGCTGTTCCCTGAATAATTGTACACAACTTTGAAAATGCTAAATTTTTTAATAATGGTCTAATGTGCCTCCTTACATTTTAAATTTTACTTTCCCTTTTGCCTACTGTTGTATCGTGTTCTTTTTCTGACCACAAATAACTAGTGGAAAAGGCCTGGAATGTATGCCAATTGATTTTTTTTTTAAAAACTTGGATATAATTATATGTCTTAAACTGTTGAAAACTAACTATTCTAACCTGCTTCGATGCACTTTCTAGCAACTGTTGTTATGGAATTAGAGATGTATTGGTTTCTAGTTTGGTAAGTTCTGTTTGTCCCTCACATGTGCCAAAGATGTGCATAATCCTGTTAGTAGGTTTTAAATATTTCTTTTTTTTTTTTTTGTAGGCTTGTTGAAGAAATGAAGCTTTAAAAAGGAATTTATCAAATAAAAAAATGGGTGCAAACAGTAGCAGCATCTGTGAGCTTCCACAAAACGAGTACTTAAAAAGATTATCGGGAGCAGAAGCTGTCTCTGAGAATGACCCATTCTGGAATCAGCTCCTTTCTTTTAGTTTTACTGCCCCAACAAACAGGTAAGAGGTTATTTTCTGAAGGGCTGAATGTTGGTGACAGATCCATTAACAGTGGTGCCAAAGAACTCTGAATGCAAAATAGACTTGTTAATTGGGAGGAGGCATGTGTGTAGAAAACCTACCTGAGTGTAGGGTATTGGAATACCATTCCACCATATTCTCTCATTCTTGCAGCTTCTTTTCTTCCTATTAGCTGCTGTAAATGGCCTTCATTCTCTCTGTAGCCAAGAAGGATCAGCAGTAAGTCTAGAAAACTTTTTTGCTTAATAGGCCTCTGAAGATGCTGAAGAACAACAGATGGTTGCCCCTTTGAAGAACCTATAGCTTCCAGTGTTAGCCAAATAAAGCAGTGTGTAAGATAGGAGGCTGATCCTGCCAGTACTGAGCCCTTTGAACGCTCATGAGTGTAATGGGAGCTGAGGGTATTCAGCATCTCAGGTAACTGAGATATAAGTTTGCTACTGATAGGGTCACGTAGGGTGCTCTGTTATTTCGAGATAATTAGCGCTATTTTGAAATAACAATGTGACCATCTGCATGGCTATTCTGTTTAGCAATAATTTTGTAATAAACAGCATATTCTGAAAACTGTAAACCTCATTTTACGAGGAAGAACACCTATTTTGAAATAGCTATTTTGAAATAAGGTGTATGTAGACGTTCAACTGCTGCTATTTCGAAATAGCCCCTCACCAGGGCCATTCTAAGTTATTCCTCCCCAGTGCTTCTTGAGGCTTTAAATCGAGATAGGATGTCTACATTCAGCCTGCCTTGGACTAATTTTAAGGCTTCCCTGTAGTGTAGTTGTGTTGTTTCAAAATAAGCTATTCTGGAATAGTTTATTTCAAATAGCTGTGCAGTGTAGACATACCCTTAGAGTTTATGTTCTTGTGACATACCAGGGCACAATCCAGACAAATGACTAGCTGTTACAATCCTGTCCTGTAGCCTGGGGAAGCTCTTTATAATGCTTTGCTGTTGTAGCTTCCATTGCTTACAAATGGTCACCAGCATGTAAATCAGTTCCAATTATGTCTGTTTGCTGCAGCCAGGCACACACCTTGAATCTTACCAGTCTTGGTTATGCTGCAGGATGACTCCTTCACACCCCCAGACTTGGATTTACCCTGTATTGCTTAGCCTTCTCTTGGACATTGTAAATATATTGAGTCTGTTATTTCTTTAAGGGATAATATAATATGCACAGATTATGTTACCCAGGCTCTTTATCTTCAACACACTGCTTTAGATGAAACAGTAAAAGAAATTCATTTAACATTTCTCTCCTTTTTGTAGGTACTACAGTTAATGAGGTATTCCTGAGGTGGGCATTCAAGAATGATAAGGCCATTGTGGAGAAACTAAATTAATTCTTTGCTTTGGTTTTCTTGGCTGAGGATGAGAGGGAGATTCTCAAACCTGAGTCATTCTTTTTAGGTGATATTTTAGGGACAGTTGCATATTGAGGTGTCATTAGAGGAGATTTTGGAGAAAACTGATAAATTGATCAGTAGTAAGTCTCCAGGACACACATGTATTTTCCCAAGAGTTTGGAAGGAGCTCATGTGAAATTGCAGAACTACTAACTGAAGTCTGTAACTTATTTAAATCAGTTTTTGTGCCAGACGCTGGTGGATAGCTAATGTGACACCAATTTTTTTAAAAGGCTCCAGAGGCGATCCTGGCAGTTACAGGTAGGTAAGTCTAGTTTCAGAACCCAGCAGATTGGCTGAAGCAAAAGTAGAATTATCAGACACATAGATGACGATGATTTGTTAGGGAAGAGTCAACATGGTTTTTGGCAAGTGAAATCATGCCTCACCAATTTACTAGAATTTTTTGAGGGGTCAATAAGCTTGTGGATAAGGGGAGTCCAGCCAGCAATGGTAGCTGGAACTTGCTTTGGCTTTTGCAAGTTGCTACAGCAGTACTCTGTGTGTTGTGTGTTAGGGATGTAAGTGACTAGGAACTCAACTAGTTGCTTCCCTCCCCGATCGCTTGCCTCTATGAGAGAGAGGTGGCAAGGAGGTGGGGGGAGTACAAGCCAGTGCTATGTGGGAGCCGGCTTAAAAGCCAGTTCCCTCCCAGAACTGTCTCCATGGAGGGCAGGACAGGCAGAGGACAGTGGGAAATGGCGTGAGTGGTGATTGAAACAGTCCCATTCATGCCAGTCCAACTGTTGCTCCTCTCCCTTTGAAATGGGTAAGAGCCGTCTTCAGTTCTTGTACATTTCAAAGGAAGAGGCACAGAGGAGACCCTGCCTCAGCAGGGACTGCTTTGGTCCCCGCTGGTGTGGGTTTCTGCTGCATCTTGCCCTTTGAAATATACAAGAGCTGCAGGCGGCTCCTGTATATTTTAAAGGGAGAGAGACAGCGGGAACCTGCTAGGTCTCACCCTTTGAAATGTACAAGAGCTGCCTGCAGCTCCTGTATATTTCAAAGGGAGAGGTGCAGCAGGATAGTGAGTGCCCTTCTTATTGACTAATTGAGCAGTCGATGGAAATTCCCATCGACTGTTCGAAATTTAACATCCCGTGTGTGTGTGTGTGTGTGTGTGTGTGTGTGTGTGTGTGCGCGCGTGCCGTTAGAGGAGTTGTGATGCAGCCTTCCCTCCCTCATTTCCCCCCAAATCACTCTTGGGGTATGTTGTGGTCGCTGGCTTTCAAGACCTGCAAAGACTATGAGAAGCACATGCCAAAAAGTGACCCCTTGCACATCCTGCCTCAGGTCTCGGGGTGAAGGTCACCAGGAAAGACCCCTGCAAGGATCTGTCTGGAATTCCAGCCAAGGATTCTAAAAGTGTGTGAACAGTAGCTAAAAACCATCTTCATCGAGACTGCATCCTGACAGAAGTTGGAACCCAGTGCTGTAGCACAGCTTCTGAGTGCATCTTCTTCAATTCCTCAGCGCGCTCTCTTCTAGAGACCAGGAGCCAAAAAAAGACATCACCAAAGAGTCTACCATCATGGCACTTCCTGGGACCATTCTGCTCTTTGGCACCGGACACAGTTGCCGGTGCAGAATAAGAAGAGGGTTGAAAGGTGTCGTTCTCTGGCCCATAGACCTAAAACCCAGATGCTTGTGGCGCCACAGTAAGGAGACACCCAGTGCAGCCACATCCATTCGTGCCCAGGAGGAATGGTGGAGTTCAGGCCATGCATGCTGTCCAGCAGGGTCTGAGAGTCTGTCAGAAGTATTCCAAGTGGCTGCGCATATCCTCACCTGCACAGCCCCTTTTTCTCAACCCAGGAATGAGACCGCACCAGCACATTTGGTATCTTGCCTGGTCCACTCCATGAGTAAACCAGCAATGATGCCTCACTGTTCCCCTTCACCATGGCACTGGATTTTGGGAGGAAGTTTGGTTAGGAGTAATGTTTAGGAGCCTAATGAACGGGTTGGTTTGTTTTGTAGATAATAAAGTTTGGCAGCTGGGAAGCATAATGAGAAGGAATAACAGAGTTTTGACAAATGTATTTTCTTGGTGCAGTTGGCTATGTATTTAGTGTTACACTATAAAGTCTCTATTTTATTTAATATTTTTAAAATATTAAGCAGTTTATTGGTTGACAAGAGATATGTTTGGGTATTCTTTCCTAAGGGAAAGTCTGTCTCTTGGGGTCTGTTTCAGCATCCTTTACTTGAATCAGTGTTGCAATATCTGCCCCTATAAATGTTTGGTTTTTGTATAAAAATCTGGAGTGAAAACTGGTATGAAGAATTCAGTGTACTGAACACCACCAGATGGTGCTCTTGTATGACACTAGTTTAGATATGTATTTTTAGAGACATAGTACTGTCTTTTGTATGTGGTTAATAACTAGAAGGAACCATTAATGTTTCTAGTTAAGCTGTGCCTAAGAAGTCCTGCTGTCTTAAAACTGATTTCAACATTACTCCCTGCATGTCACCTTGAACCATTTTCTTATGTGAGCACTCACTGGGGGGAGGGGGAACCCAAGATCGAGCTCCTTAAGAAGTCAGTTGTTAATGCTTTATTACAATGGATATTAAATATGGCTATTCCTCTTCACCCCTATGGACCATTTGTCTTCAACAGTGGCTTGAAGGGGATGGGTTTGTCACTTGTCAAATATGGCAGGGTTTTTTTTGTATTTATTCTAGAAGTATACCTTGTCATTTTAGTCTGTTTGTAAAATGGAATTGTTCATCAGTAGATGCTAGCTTTCAGGCTTTAATGATAACTATATCAGTGCTAAATTGAGAGAGCTGATGGTAACTCTTCAGGGTGATGGTTTTTCATAGGTGGCATCAGGTTAAATTGGGCAAGCTCTTAAAAAGTTAAGGTGGATGTCATCTTCCATGAGCTTTAGCATTTTTAGGTTTAGTCTTCTACCTAGTAGTGTAGGGAGTGAGGAAGCTGAAGGGGAGATCTCTTTTTTTTCTCTCTTAGGCAGAAATACCATCAAATTCTCAAAAGTCTGGCCTGTGGGACTCCTGGTAGGCTGTAGGAGGATTTAAGGGGGGCTGTCCATTACCTGCCTCAAGCTTCTCCTCTTCCCATAATTGTTCCTCTTTTTTCCTCCCTAAACACCCTGCCCCCCTGAGCATACGGCTTAGGGGGATCACTGAGGGGGCTTGGTGCCACATGGTGGCAGGATCTGCAGGGGAAGTGGAGTGCAGGGGAATGTGTGCTCCAACCCAGCATGCTCTCCTTCCCCCAGGTAGCAGTAGTTGTGGGGAGTGCGGGTGCCTGCAACTGATGTGCTTAGGGCTCCTCCTACCTCCTCTCTGTGATCTCCAAAGCTAAGTAGTTGTAGGACGAGGTGCCATGGGGGCAGAAGGTGGGGTGAGGCAGGAAGGGGTGGGGCTTAAAGCCAGTAATTGACAGCTTTCCCCTCTCCCCCGGCCTGCCGAAGTCCCAGGCCAAATCGCTCCAGCTGGGACTGGCACTCAAGCTTGAAGTTTGAAACCCCTGCTCTCTTACTGATCTCTAAAACTTCTTTAGTGCTGTGGCTAACAAGCTCCTATCTGTTTCCT